TTGTATCTTGTATCTTCGATCCGCGAGGTGAACAAACTCCGCTCTGCGCATGCGTCGCTGCTTCGCGGGAAGTGTGTCCTCCTGTCGCTGTCATCCAATTTCAAAACATGAAAAATTAGTCCATTTCCGTCGCAGAGCTCTAGATCCATAGATGGCAGCCCCATGTGCTCACCTCGTCTCATCCTTCGGCCCCGGGTTGAACGAACTGCAATTGTATCCAGTCCTGCAGGGCAGACTTGTTGCCGTTACAATGTCCCACCCTAGGTGCATTGAACTCGGGATTAGGATAAATTATTGGGGTTGTGGTTGAGGTGGTTCTGGATGCCAAGTACAGTCACCAGGAAGAAAGCTAATCGGAAAAAGATACACCTAAGCAAGGTATCCATTTCTCAGCTCTTAACGATGAGCTTCACAGTATTAAGGCTTTAAAAGTGTTTACAGGCAAGTTCACTTATAGCTAAGTATGATTTTAGATAAGACACTACTTGATTGTTCATTTTACGTGTAAATTTTGCTATATTAATATATATATACAATTTTTCTAAGATCTTTTCCAAAAAACCCTTGAATGGTTAGTAAAAATAAGAACTGAAATATATAAAATTGTAATTCTGGACTTACAGGATGTATTTGAAAGTTAAGGCATGTTAGGGCAGGGATACTTTTGAACATTAAATACCATATTCACTCCCCTAAGGTCTGAGGGGAGTCCGTCAGCCAAGATCGCAGTGCAATTAAATGGCAACCAAGCAAGCGACACTCTGGTTCCACTGGCAAACTTTGGGCGACTGCCATACCGCCCCATCCACCAATTCCATCCCCTTCTCCTTTCCCTTGGGGTACATTAGAAACCGAGTCCGCTTCGCGGGGTGCAGCGAAAACAGACGCAGCGTCTGCTTTTGGTATCAGAGATGCGTATTACCTGAAATGTAAAAAAAGCCAAATATAAATATATATATATATATATATGTAAATTAACATTTTAAGACCATTTTTAAGCTAGAACTACTTACAATCATAAGATTAAGTACCATACCTATTATTTCTTCAAGGGAAAAAATGTTTATAATATGAAAATTAGTAAATTTAGCAGAATAGTAAATAATTTATAGACATACCTACATAAAACTGTTTAAAAAAATTTATTCATATTTGAAATAAATATTTCACTTCATCAAAATTGTAGTGTTATTAGGTAAAGGTTTTTTAATTTGGCTAGAAAATGTCTGGATAAGCAGCTCAGCTCTGGAAACGGAATCTAACAAAAGTGATGGACCGGCGCTGACTGCACGTTCTGCCCGCAACTATTTTTAGCCACGTCTTTGGCTCTCCGTCTAGTTAGCATCGGGGCAGATACACGTACATCCGAAGGCACGGATGTATCTGCGTATCTGAGTATAGTATATATCCTCCTGTTGCCGAGGGCTGTTGCGGCTGCGCTGCCTTACTTCTGATATTCCATTCCATCCATCGGATGCAGTAGCCGTTTGCTCGGCGATCCGCTCGTCTCAATTGCATTCCAGCGCGCGTTCGGTACGGATACGGTTTCGGTTACGGCGGACAAAAGATACGGATACAGCAGCGCCAATCGGATTAATTGCCACATTGGATTATCAGTGAAAAAGTGAAAGTGAAAGAAAACCTAAAGAGAGCGGTGGCATAATACTATTAAAATCTTACAAAGTGATTGCATAAAGTTCCTAGGATAAACATCGATTGTGAATTGAATTCAACTAATCAAGTTGCATTTTTAAAAATAGTAATTCCAAGATTGTTCCAATTAGAACTCATCAATCTTATATAAGCAGAGGAATACAAATATCTATAAAAGGTTTGTCTTTAAAATATATGTAAATATTGTAGCATACTTTTTTGATTATTAAGGTTTTAGTTAATCTCTTAAGTATATAAAGCTAATAATAACTATTAAACTTATAAAATATTATAAAAATGTTCTTAAAACATTATTGGGTTTATATAGTCTCTGATAAATAAAGTCAGCACAAGAAGGAAAGATCTATGCATATTCAATATGTCAAAAGGTACAAAAGCAATACCTTTTATAAGAGAATCAGTTTTATTCAGCATCTTAGAATTTAAAATAGTTATAGATATATTATATGTTAAACACTTTATAAGATTAGAAGTTATAGACAAATTTCCATAGTCCCTATACTCCACTCAATATAATCGCCACCAATGAGTAATGCCAAAGTAACTCGATGTCGTCTAAGTAGCTGGTGGAATGCGCAATATCTCCCCGATCGCAGATTTCAGATCGGGTCCTAAAAAGGGAGCATCGTTCAGTGACCACATCCCAGAGCATTTAAGTGGAAATGTGGAAATGTCTGGAGCGGCGAGCCGAAACAAAGGCAGCTGAATTTAAATTGGGAACCAACTGAAAAATGTCGCATGTTCGATGGGGCGCCCATTGGCATCAAAATGAGTAAAAAAAAAGAGGCGGCAAAATGTAAACAACACAAAAAGAGTGAAAGAAGCGCAAGTTCAAGATTCTCACAGATACTCGGCACTCACACAAACTCATCGATGGAATAGCTAAAAGTAGAAACGCGCACAGACGAAGCAATAAACTGCACGGAAAGTAGTTTAATGCAGTTTGCTGGGGATCCTGGTTCCCCATCACCCTGGCCCACCGCCCTCCCCCCTCCCCCTTTCCACCACGCCCCTTGGCGCACGACAAACAAATACAAATACAACAACTGCGACCACGTCGCGCCGCTTAGTTTTCCTCCGCCGATCGTTTCCCCGATCTATTTTCGTACCGCTTTGGGATGTGTAGTTTTTCGTCGCCTCGAGTAATTTGTTTCTTGCATTAGTTTTGTGGAAAATCTACACTGCAAACAAAGTACAGGAGAAAATGTTAAGTGGTCTCTATCACCTTTATCTCAAAAAGATAGAAACTATAGCTTTGTGATTCTCTTAAATGTATAATAAACCAAATTTAGCTTTTAACTTGAAAAACTAGATTAAAGCCTTTGACTAAAATATCAAATAATAAATTCAATCCTATTACTTAAACAATGTCCTTATGTCTATGAGGGTTATAATAAAGGCATACGTAAAATTCTATAAAAAATATTTATAAAATCAATTGACGAAACATGCATTTTGGCTTAATCCATTAAAATATATGTTTTTGCTTAGAGTTATATTTAGTTAATTAAAATCTAAGTGGTTTGATTTTTTCATGTTTATCGAATACGTTTCAGAAATATAAGTAGTTACTGTTGCTAGAAATAGTCATGATAAACCTTTTTATAAAATACAATCATATACACATTTCATCACATAAAAATGAGCAGTGCATATTCGGCAAACCTAAGCAAACTAAAAACCAAGTTCAGCCCTGACTAAAGAAAATTCGCCCTCAAACAAACCGATGGCAGTGTTTATTTAAAACTCCGCATTGCCAAAGTCAACTTGCGGTGGCAGTGGCACAAGCCAAACGTTAGTTTTTCCCCAGCGAATTTAAAATAATGGATTGGGGGGAGCAACGGCAGCAACAATAACTATTGCAACACCTACTCGAGGGGAAAATCAGGAGGATCAGGGGCAGGGGACTGGGGAATGTCAAGAGGCCGACGACATTGCAGCAGAGCTACAGTCAAACTTCCCTAAGGGCACTTTCTTTATTTACTTATTATATTTCCATTAAAAAATATATACTTAAGTAGAGATTTTGAAGAAAATGTTATTTTTGAAAATATATTATGAAAAACATTATATGATATGATAAGTAATTGCGGCTATCAATAATACTTGATATTATATTTAATAAATTCTAATTGAACTTGGTCAAGTAATTAATATGCTTTTACAATTTGTGAGATACACATTCCGATTGTAGATATTTTTAATCTATGCAAATCCCTAAAGATATGTTATAAATGACATTATCTGTATTTCAAATATGAGTTCATATTGTGCAAGTCCTACTGTCTTCTGAGTTCCTTGCTCCGAAGAAGAAGCAGCTGAAAACGTCAGCAGAATCGCTGCAGGGGGCACCCTCACACTTGAGCACAAACACAAAAAGATAGACAGATACGCACGCGCACCAAATGTGAGCGAGATGCGCATGTGGCCATAAAACCGGGGGGAAGTTGTTGTCTATCGCTCGGGGGACACTTCCGTCTCCAGATCTGTGTACTCCGTAGTGCCCTGCATGTCTGCAGTTGCCGTGTACCCCATTTCCCATTTCCCAGGTCCCGCTGCCTCCCCTCACATGTGGGAACTGCTGGGGCTGGAGATTGATGTTGGGACAGTTCCACGTCCTCCTGTTAGCCGGGCATTAAGTGGCATTAAAGTTGTCCGGGCTTATCGCTCACAAGCACAAGCTCGCACCTCAAGATGCACCTACACTGGAAAAAATATGTACCAACAACTAAAATGATCTCAATTTTAAAAAAATGTATAGATAACCGATCCATAACTCATATTCATATTTATATATTTATGTTATTATATCCATGTATTCCGTCTAGTTTTTTTATTATATGAGTTTTGTATTATCCATTTTGGATTGCAACTCTAGGAAAAGTTTTTCTCTGTGTCATTATCTGATCTCAACTCATTTCCGCTGGAAATCCATATATTCGAGTGCGCCTTTATGGAGGATCGTTAAAGTCAAGACATTCCCAAAACTACATATGTCAAATTATGTTTAATGTGGGGCATTAGCCAGGTACAGTAGTGGTGTTTGTGGAAGCCACTGTACTGATAATTGGGGAGGGTCCCAAAGAATGCATTATAGTAAATTTTATTGCTTACCAATATATTTTTTCATTTAGTCGAATATTTATTGTCGCCTTTAAACTTTTAGAATTTAAAGTTTGGAGTGTTTACGTGATGTTATAAAACTAAAAAACAATAATTGTAATAAATTAAAAAAATTTAAAATATGTTTTTAATATTTAGAGATTATTAATTTTATTAAAAATATAATACATGATATTTATTAACAACTTAAAATATTTTTCAGCATGCCCACGCTGCCTCAAATTTCGCTCCCGATGGACGGCGATCAGACGGAGCTGCAGACGCCCCCGCTGCCGATAAACCCGCCACCCAAGGTGATGGCCAATGGAATCGTCTATGGATTCCGCACCCGACACCTGTCCTGCATCGAGGAGAACGACTCGGACTCGCTGCACGGATCGTCCATTCCACACGCCTACGATATGATGCAGCAGGCGGACGAGACCTTTCAGAAGCTGAATGCCAACGAGGAGCAGGATGAGTCGGGAAGTGAGGAGGAGGGAATGGAGAATCTGGACGACACCATCGCCATGATCGATGAGTCGCGTCTTTTGGAAGCCGATTACCTGGACGAGTTGGTGGCTGAGGAGCAGTTGCAGGAGCAGGATGAAGAGGAGGAGTCTTCGGATCTCGTGGACTCGGGAAATGTGGAGGAGGACTTCTGGCAGCCGAGCTTTAATCGCAACGATATCATGATGACCTCGGTTTATGGGGCTCTTAATAGTTCCCTGACCAGTGAGGTTTCTTCCGCCTCTGCTCTTCCGGGATATTCGGAGTGTGCCACGTCCAGAAAAGAGGCGGAACCCGTTTATGCCACGCCGGAAAAGCGTAGAGCCAGCAATCGGAGCTTCGACTCCACCTGTGCCTCCTTGACCAGTTCCCTATACGGAGGATCTATGAACTCCTCGCTGGACCTCAAGTACTCCTCTTTGGGCGGTGGAGATTCAGCCAGCGGGGGGATAAGTGGAACCAGTACTTTGAGGGGAACTTCAGTGCCCCCAATGGATATATCCATGATGTCTAGCGATGGAGTGAGTGCCCTCGACTGGGGATCGGCCAGTGTGAGCTGTGTTCTGGACTCCGGCGAGGGGAATCCCGCCGAGGAAATAACCGAGGAAATGGCCGCCAAGTGTTTGAGTGCCGCAGAAAGTGGTAAGTACCGATGAAATAAAAAATATCTTACATATACATGTTCCTTAACTAGGGAACTGATTTCTAAAAACCCCAAGAGATCATTTGATTCTACACTTGATTTTTTAATCGCCAAGATTGTAAACCCCTTTTTTGCTAGGCCTTAAAAAAATCGTTAAATCAAGTGCCATGACCTGTAGACCCAAAACTACTTCATTAACTGCAAATTGTAAACAAAACTTGATTTTTATATTGATCACATCGGCGATTTCTCTGGTGATTTCTTCTGGCTGGGAAGGTAATCCATCAATGCAGCAGGGCATTAAACTCATTTACAATCCTTCATTACCGGACATGCAAACAGGCGCACCGTTTTAATGACCCACTCGCAGCGGACCCATTTCGCTCTGCTCGCCATTAGAAAGGCAGCCCGCGAGGCGGCGGCTGACCCCCAGCACTTCCACATCCACCTTCCCCCAAAGTCCCCAAATCCGCCAGGTCCCCTAGATCCCCAATCTCCAACTGCAACATCATCAGCAGTATCCTCGGCCGAAAAACTAACAAACTTCCAATGGCCGTGGGGAGGTTTATAAACACTCGAACAAAAGAGGTTGCAAGTTATAAATCGTAAAACTGTTATATATCACGTGTTATATATATTATTATAATTGAACTGAAAGTTGAATTTGAACTTATTTGGTTTATTATTTATTTTGTTTTAACAAGATAAATAAATGTGAAGAATATATCGGTTTAAAATTATGAGAAAAATATAGCGAGCTTACCAAAGTTGGAATAATTATATTTTCAGTGAGGGCATACCTTTAGTTTTCGAGTTCTTTTGAAATATAAACAAAAGCAGCATATTAAGGATGTGATATTTTTTTATCGGTGTTCTTAAAGTAAGAAATACATAGAAAGTCCTTATTCTGAAAATTTTTTTGTGTGTATACAATTCGATTGGCAATAGAGTAAACAAAGCCAGTGAAAGCCAAACAAGTGGCCAGACTTTGCCCATTTCACACAGATGTTTAACAAGCCGGCCCGGGTCATAAATCATCCAAATGGATATATATTCACCGCGTTTATCCATCTCCCAATTGGTTAGCATATGACCGAGCTAGCGATCGAGTAGATCCTCGGGGTGAAAACTCGCTGACATTGACAGTTTCTAATAAGAAAATTGGCCAAGATTTATGCTCGTGCTGTTGACTTCCATTTTAATTTAAAACTAATCAATAAACTGGCACAGCCAACCGGGTGGCGAGAGCAACAAAAGTGTTCAACAAATTGCCAAATGATGTTGCAAAGTGCAATGTCACAGTAATTTACGTGCCACTCCAATGGCAAAATGCTCAACAGCCACAAAGCTGATGAGAATTTATGCTAAGGGTTAAGTGTCAGCCTCGTCAATATTTGCATAGTGGGTGGTTTCGCTGACTGGCGTCATTAAAATGTGCTCAACCATTTTCGGCATGAGATCATACTTCTCTAGTTAGGCTCATACTAAAAATTCATTTAACGTTAATTTTTACAGTCGTATCAAGACGGCAACCTTAATTTGAGCTTATTTTTAATACATTTTTAGTAGGTAGTAAATATTCATGGTGTTACTTGTGTTACAATGTTACTTTAATCAACAAGTTGCTTATTTAGTCATATGAATCATTAAATTTAAAGAGATTCGACTTAAGCAAATTTATTTTAAGGGACGAGACTTGCAATTCTTTTAAAAATCATCTAAGCGATTGAAAATAAAAAGGCTCCAAGAGACTTAAAAAGATTTCAAATAAATTCTAAGATTTTCATTTTAACCCCATTGTGCTGCATTTTCGCGGCTCAGGCAGTGTTGTGCGTGTGTGTTTGTGCGGAAAAGTGAAAAGTCATGAATCATATACATCATGATCACACCAGAGCGAACCACACCACACGACCATGGCGAACTAGGATGGATGATGATGATGATGAAGCTGCAGCGGCCGGGGCATCGGATATGCGAGTGGTTGGGCCATAAAGTTACATGGCTTATCGCTGGAAAACTTTTAAAAAACACTTGAGATTGTGCCGAGAACGAGCTCGGTGGCCGAGGCAAAGCTAAGAGCGCTCCAAAGACGCGTCTACGAACAGGTATGGCTCTTCTACAGAAGAGCCTAAGCACACACCGCCAAGAGAAAGATCCACAGATCCACAGAGGCGAAGAAAGGGGGCTTCGAGGATGGAGGAGCTGTTGGTGGCTTGTATCTACAAATAGACCCGGACTGACGGCCGCAAGACAAAGTCAAACAAAAGACCCAAACGGTAGTTGCCATGAATGGACAACAGACTCGAAACCGGCTGGGAAGTACAGTAGTTTATCCATGGGTTGTAATAATATGTAGGTGGAGAAAATTGAGAGGTTACTGTGGCACTCAAAAAGTAAGTTGTATGTTTCCTTCGCATATAGTTTTGCTTAGACCTATATTAATTAATTTATTTATCTAAGAAGATATAGTATTTTTATTTAAGATCAAAGATAAACCTTCTACGTTATAATAGTTTATTATATTATACAAAGGAAAGTTCTTGGTAGAGAAGTTCAACTGTATCTGCATCTGACGGATACGGGGCGCAGACTCCAACTGAAACTCCATCCCGAACGCAGTCGCAAATGCAACTTTGTTGCCCGTGGGCTCAGCATGGACTCCTCGGACGGCCAACTATTTATTGGAATGGATCTCGGGACTCCGACCCAGTCGCAGATTCAGATAGGAGCCCCATAAAATTACCGCGCACGCACCGGCGAATGCGAATGCATTTTGTGTGTTCGATAAATCGCCAGTCGGCGATTCCCACAATCGACGTTGCACTTGAATTTGAATCCGCAATTGCTCTCTCAATATTTATGAGTTGAACCCTGTAGTTAGTTCCTTGGGCTGCGATAATGAAATTGCTGCCAGCGAGGGATTCTTGGGACTTAAAGTCTGAAAGATAATGGGAGCATACTTACCGGGTAATTTATTTGTGGTAATTGAGGAATTGTAGCTGGGAATTTTAGGAAAGTAGCAGAATTTAATTCAACGAATATGAAACCCCAATCTTTAACTATAGCAAAATAATCTCTGCCCTAATTTTAATAGACAAATACTGTGTCCAATTATTTATATATTTCTTTTGTGTTGCAATCTAATCTCTTTCAATATTTATGACATTCTTATCTTACAAATGCTTGCAATTAAACGTCGTTCTAAGATTTTTGCCTAGCACAGATTTCCTCAAACAACTTGAACCAGATGGCTCAACTTCTAATTCTACCTCGTCCCGCTCCCCTTATCGGTGCCCATTAATCAAGATTGTGTCAAAGGTATTAGCTCATTTGGGGGCTCAACACAAAATCAACTCAGGGTCTATGGGGATTGGTCCCAACATTGGAACATTTGGGCGATTACAAACTATTACTGTTGTCAACTGCAAGCGGTAACATTTTATTACGTGAGCCCCGTGCTCTTTTTCTATTCCCTCGTAATGACTAGATTAATTCTAATGTAATTGAAACGGTGCCCGGCTTTCGCTTATCGAAATGTTTGTGGCTTGGGCAACCACAGAGTGATTGGTAATGGGCTGGAAAGCTACCAGAATTGGTGGTAACGAAGCTGATATTGCTGATGAAGTTTGGAGCGTTGCAACAATATTAATGAATAGGGGCACGGCTATTGGGTTCTCGAAGACAGCGACACACCGGTTATGCACACGTTCATATTTACAATTAAAAAACATTTTCTTTTATATTTAGGAATTTTGTTATATTTAAAACAAAATGTTTTGCAGTTTTTAAATCGTAGTTTAGCCAAATCCTGGCGTACAGCTGAAAGACCGATTGTTTTGAGAAGCTTAAAGTTCATGTTCACGATCTTCATCACATTGTGATTAATGTATATATTGTCCAATTTGTTACTACACAAAAATTTCCATGTTTGAATGCAAATAAAATGGTAATAAAATAAAAAGCTCAATGAGGTATTACACTTCTCATTCAAATCTTCTATAGCATAATTCCTGCCAAAACACTGATCACGTAACTGTGAAACACTTGAACAGGAACTGTGTATTGTGAATTCTTTCTTTATACTGAATGCAATTTAAAAATGTATTCTTTTGTATTATTTGTTAATGAGCCCATAACAGGTGAATAAAAAACTATTCATAGCGGCACAAACACATTTCGAAGGCCCTCGACAACTTCTTTCAGTTTTAAATTCCGTTTATACATTCTCTAGACCTTTTTAAGTACTTAAGGTATGTGTGCGCGATGACTCTATTGAAAAGCAATTTCCTCAAATCTCGGACACCAATCAGCGGGACAACATCCTGGCACATTCCCTCACAAGAAGTGTCTCCCTTATCGGGAAGAAAACTCCTGCAGCGGGGAAAGTATCTTGTGGGTTAATGAGGCACCAGAGGCACGTACGCTTGCGTCATCGGGTAGCTGAAAATAAAGAAGGTTCTAAACCGAAAGTGGGGAAGAGAACACACTAGGCCCTTACCCTGGCTTTTATGTTTGCTATTTCGGACTGACACCGCGATAAGCGGCCATTGCTGCAGTCAGCACCTCAATCAGTCAAAACGCATGAAGAACAAATACAAAATCCACAAGTTGTATATATTGTGCCGGTATGTGTGGAGAGTTGCGGAGAGTTGTGCTCTCAGCTGGCTCAGAGTGGAGACTACTTGCGCGACTCGACGACTCTTCTCTCCGGTTCTCCGGCACTTTTCTGGCTTTTTGCGCTCAGTTTCGAAACGCACTTCAAAGCTCGCGCAAGCGTACCGCATGTGAATCGGAAGAAAGCGCCTCCGATCGGAAAATCTTTGCGACTCGCGATCGATCAACCGGCATTTTCTCGTTCGCCACTCTGGATACGGTTTCAAATCGCAAAACGTGACAAGTTCCCTGGAAAATGGGCGAAAATCGATAAATTAAGCCAAGCTCCCATGTGACGTATGCGTAATGTGACCACAGTGCGGATAAATGTAATTTATTTACCTGA